AACTTTTGGGAAAGCAAGGCTATGTGAAATTCAATGGAAAAGTCAGCTCAACTCATATCATTGTGGGAAAGTTCTACTACCAGTCCTTCATCACTTTACACGAAATAGGGTGAATACATCTCATTACAAGGATAAAACAGCCTAACAAATCTTGGAATGCCTTATTAAGATCGCAATGTGAGGTGTAAGAAGTAAGTAGGATCTCAGCTGACTACCTTAATCGGTTTAGTGTTTTGGGGAGATTCTTTTGTGAATAATGATTTCTGACTCTGACGATGTCCATCCAATGACAGACGAAAGCTTAACACGAAGTCATCGAGGTGGCAGGACGGTGAACCGAGGTTTTATTAGCACAATATAACAGATGAAAGGTCTAGACAACCATCCTTTGATATCCGATGAGGCCAATTTACGAATCCCTTCCACCCGCCTTTTCAAACGAAATAAAAGGTATGCCAGTATCTCTTTGTCTATAATGCAATATTGCTTGGGCCTCTAGCCTAAGTTTTATATTCTCTAGGTAATACATTAGGCCCCTACTCACTTGCTTATATCCTGACAGGCCAGATTCTTATTTGCTTACTCTTCACCTACAGAACCAGAACAAACCTGCTGTTACTCGGCCTCAACTGCTGCGCCCTGTAATCCAGTCAGTGGAGTGCTATGGTCTTCTGGCAATAGTTCCCATCGTAACCCTGATGACGCGACCACATCCACGCCATCTACTGAAATTAGCCCCACACCGGAAAGTCCTATCCCCTCTCTCATGGGAAGAGGTGTTTTAAGCCCACGTGAGAGGACCCTGCGTAGGACCATGAAAACCACCACTACAACAACTACTACGAGGACCACCACGATACTGGAGACCTCAACCTTAGTTCCTGAATCCAAAGGACAACTTTCAAGAGAGGCGGCGGCATCACTTTCCGAAAGGGAGAAAGAGAGTGGGCTGACCGAAGCTAATCAACTGGACCGACAACAATCGGTCAGTCTCAACGCCTGTCCTCTCGAGGTCCCTCTTCATAACGTCGTCCATGAAAGGCCAGCTCCAACTTCTGGATCCAATCAATATGAGGAAGGAGACATCAATTCGCAAGTATCAAGGGCGGGATATCATGATGCCCCGCCATCCTTCCTACAGTATCCAGAGGGCCATGAGGCACCAGACTACTCCTACACTCAGCCGAACTTGACTCCAATGGCTATAGTATCCTCTTCATCCAATGATCCACTGATTTCAATTCTTCGGCCCGAGGATACCTATTTCCCTCATCAGATAAACGATGTTCTGCCTTTTCTTGAACCCGGTATGCAAGGAAGTCACCAATCTCGAGTCACAGCGCCGAATGGTACAACGCGGCCCTACTATCAGCATCACCAGTACCATCATCATCTCCACCATCACCATCACCACCAGGTGGCCTTTTACTCTGCTGAGCGAGTGACAGCCGTCGCGGCCGCAGCTGCTGCAGCGGCCGCTGCCGCCGCCATGGTGACAATGGGAACGCCAGCTAGTCTCTGCTCCGGTCTGACAGCCTCGAATTACGTTCCAAATACCATCCAACACTCTGGACTCCCATCTTCCCAACTGTTGGCCCTTCCGCCGATTCCGCCTCCGCCTCAGCCTCCGCTTCCCCACCCTCCTCCTCTATTACCCACGCCATCAGCAGCACTATTGTCACCATCCCTCACCTTTCCGCCTCCGGCACAGTCAGAATGTTTTGACTGGCCTATCTGTGACACTGTTCATCTTAACTACCCACTTCCGACTCCTCCAATGCCGCCGACAGCTTCAACGGAACCTCATCTATATCGGACAAGGGATGCCCCATATCTAACCTACCCATACATCCAGCCCCCAGTAGCCTATCTGTCTTCGTCTGCTTACCCACCTCTAACAAGACCTTTGTCCGAAGGCCGAGTTGAACAAGCTAGAGAATATTCACCGGCCTATTCAACCGCACTTATGATAAGTCTTCCAGATCGACACACACCAGCCCCTGGCTTTGTCCAGCCGCCCCATTCCTCTTCTCAGATAGAGGGGCGAAAGATAGAGAAAATAGAACAAGGGTCAGGGGAAGGTGAGGAAGAGGATGAGAGGATTCACAGGAAAGTAAAAGATTGTAGC